AAATTTTGAAATTGTGCTGTTAAATCCCACACTATATATTAAGTGAAATATGTACTGTAAATTAATATTGTTTTTGTTGATTTTGAAATTCTCAATATAAAGAAATAAATAAATAAGCAACTTTTTAAAAGTTTTTCAATTTAAGTTGTGATATTTAAGATGTTTAATTAAAATAAATAATGTAAATATGATTGTTAAGAGTCATGTTTAATTGACAAGACTATGTCTTGTTTATAAAATCGTACTGCCGGTTTATGTTACCAACATAGAAGTATGAAGGAGTACACGTTGAGAGTTAATATTTGGCACAGAGTATTAGGTGCCTAAATCATTTGCGCATAAAAAAATCCAGACTCGTATGTAGTCAGGGGACCGAGAACCGAATCAGAATAAAATACAAAATGGCAACCCTCTTCTACAAACAGGCAAAACAGGCTCCTCACCCCACCGAAGTCAGGTGGGGGAGAGTACCACCCAGTCATTCTAAGAAGTGAACTCTGACCTTAGAACTGAACACTTAGTTTCTTCTATGTTAAATAAAACTTATAATCTAATTTTGAAATTTGGGAGAGCTTCAAATATGACATTAAAATAGGGTGTTATTACAAGTAGGTTTTTTAACATTATCTACTATAGTAAAATCATGGGACCGATAAAAATTTGACGTTATATTAGGGTTGTTGTGCAGCTGATGATGTTATAATCGAGTTAAACTGTATATTGTTTGTGCCAAATAAAAAAATAATTTTGGATGATACAATAGCCATGATTATTTTTTTCAAAAATGGGAAATTTTCGTTACACATCGATAAAAATTCATCCTGGGCCGACACATACTGGAGAGAAATTTTGAAATTGGATAAATTAATTTTATCGAAAATGCATCGTGGATGACCTCATGGTTGTGGTTGGTGAAGTTTGAATGATTGTGCCCAAAAGCAGCGATACCAAAGAAGATTGGAGAATGAGAATGAGACCTGCCTTGAGCATCAAAGTGATTCTGCTTAGTAGTGAGTCTCCAAGGCATTGTCTTGTTCTAAATACGGTTTTGCTGTTTTACTTGTTCATTTTAATTTTGTAGGTTACTATAGTATTAATGTTGAAAGTACTTTGACATTGCAGAATTTTGTGAAATGTTGAAGTAAATGATATAATCCAATTGTACAATTCAAGTACAGTTGTCCCTCTATAGTCCGACGTTTTTTAATCCGACATGCTCAGTAGTCCAACGCACCTCCCGTCAAGGTACCCGCCCCCGTTACATGTCTGCTTGCACAGAAGCATGTCGCAATGTGAATCTCCCCATCCAATTTTTACACGATGACACACATTTCGTGTGTTTTATGTGAGCAGTTCTGTTCGAACAGTTGGAGTAGAGAATATTGTAAGTTACTGCTAGCAAAACAATGCGAAATATGTAATTATTTTCGGTAATCCGGACACTTTTGGTAATCTAACACACCTTTGGTCCCATACCTGTCGGATTATCAAGGGACAACTGTACTACTAATCACTGTTGATAGAATATTCTATTTATTCACATCCACATAAATTAATTTAGAGAATAACAGCATATACCAAAATTCTCACTAATACAAATTGTAGAATTCTTGTGGTGCTATAAATTTCAAAGAAAATAAAATAACTTATTTTTTATATTCTTGTTCAATAAATTTATGTTTTTCATTTATTATTATTTGTTTAACTGTATACTATCATTATCAGATATTTAGAATGAAACAATGGAATAAGCATACTGTTTTTTAGATATGAGGTATCACATTTGAGTTTTACAAAATAAGTTTGTTTGTATGTATAGTATGTATGTAAAATGCATTAACAAAGTATTAATGCATACTGTAAGACACTTGCAATGTTATGAGCTTCAAAGATAAGAAAATAACTTACATTTTTTTCTTTTCAAATAGTTTAAGTTATTTAACTTAAAATAACAAACTATTTGAAAAAAAAAAATGTAAGTTATTTTCTTATCTTTGAAGTTCATAGCATTGCAAGTGTCTCACAGTATGCATTAATACGTTGTTAATGTTCTCCTACTTATTTAAAAATTTAATATTACTAATACTTTTAATTAAACTTATAAAATTATGTGGAAAAATAGATTGAAGGGAAATTTCATTTTTTTATTCATGCATATCAAATACTTATGCTATCAGTTATGCTATACAAAAATTCTGAATTGGATATTTTTAAAATGTATAAGAATTTGGACTAGCAACTTTAGATACCATTGTTATTATTTGTTTTTATACAGATTTTAACAGTTTATTTTGTGTACAAACACTCAACTGGTAAATTATCTACACACATATATATATATATATATATATATATGTATATGTATATATGTATAAAATATATATTGTAATAGATATAGCATTAATCATTATTAATTAATCAAATATTAAAAATTCAGTTGATTATGCTGGTCATTATTGACTTACAAATTAGTATAAAGTTGAATAATGATTGTATTATTAACATGCTTATATCTTCAAATAACTTAATCATTGTATATGTTATGTATATTTTCCATATTAAATCAATAAGTTAATTTTTTTTATCAGGGAAACAAGGAAATCAATAACAAAATTCTAAAAAAGCTGCTTTAACATAAAAATTCACAAAATTTGGCATGATGACGATGAAACAAACAAACTGTTAAAGTAGAGATTGAGATACCAAAATTATTTAAATAAAAATGTTTTTGATTTTAATTTAGATCATCTCTGAATTTTCTTGTTTAAATATTTAAAAATGAAGTCAATAAAAAAAAATGTTTTTGATTTTAATTAGCTTAAATAAATAAATGCCAGTTTTTTACGAGTATCTTTGATCTTATTCTTATTTGAACATAAAGTTTGCATGATGAAAATCTGGCAGACAAGCTGATTTCAGCATCTTTGGAAAAAGTTTTAAAACAGCTGTTAAATATTCACCTATAATACAATAATAGCATTTGATATGGAGAGAGATACCCTAAACTATATTTTTCTGGACAGAAGTATTTAAATACAAAACAATTACACCATTAATGGCCTTTTTAAGAAAACCATGCTTTAAAACAATGAAAATTATATTATCCAACTGAATATTTCTTTCTCTAGATAATGTGAAACAAGTACTGGAACATTTTATTAAGGTTTGAAAAGCAGTGAACTTATGAGATTTAACTTTATATTAACACAGTAAATATAATATCAAAGCTCATAAGNAGTTTGGCAGGTTTTGTTTTGAACAAGTTTTAGTATTTTTTTTCGTATTTATTATTGAACTATATTAGATACATGTCATACAGTTGTGTTCTCTTTGTATAATAAAATTACTATTACACATGCTATGTGAAAATTTTTGTTACTAGTTTTAATCCAAAACGATTCCAATTAAAGATGGGAGTATTCAAATGCAAGAATTAAAAGTATTTGATTCCAAAAGCTTTTTCTTGTTTCCAGGAACTTGCACTACATATTCAAAAGTTTATTGGATGTGATCTATATTAACTCATATGACAGTGAACAAGCCAATTTGATTTCTAAAAATTAGTATATAGTTTTATCATCAGAAATTCTAATTGCATTACAGTAATACAGAGACCAAATTATTTTGTGATTTAACTTCTTGAAGAATTTTAATATTCTAATTAATTGTTTACTTTAATATACGTAATTATCAACATGTTAATCAACTTGTTTTTGAATACTCTGTACTAATTAGTTACTAACTACTCTGTATAAGCAAATTACCAGCCCTGTGCTACCTTATTCTCATTATTTTCATGAATTGCATTTATTCCTTGTTCTTGAAAACTTGATTCTCAGAAACTCATTTGATTCTTAAAAGTTTTTGTTTCTGCCACTGGTTAATTCTAATAAAGACTAACTTTAACAAAGATCTTGTGTTTTATGTTCCCTTATTATGTGATGTTTGTTTCTTTGACAAGGCTTGAAATGGTTCTTGGAATACAGTTTGTCACACTTTGCAGTGACAGTTATACTTTGAGACAATTTTACTTATTTGTCTACAAGTGAAATTGTAATATTTGGCTTTACCAAGGTTATGTTATGCTTTTCATACCTAAAAACTGTTTCCATTTTGTATTGGACAGTTCTTGGTTTATATTGAAATTGAATGTAACAAAAAAAAAATTCTTCAGAATGAAGTGATTTTCTATTTCCATTTTATTCAGTTTTTGTTTTGGACAGGTTTTACTGCATAACAAATTTTGTATTGATAATGCATTTACATATAAAGAAAAGAATTATTATGTTTAATTTTTTTCATTTACGAGGATAAATTAATAAAATTTTATACTTGACATGATTATTTACAATGATGATTTAACTTAATGTAAAACATTTTTTTTCTACATAAAGATAACAGTAAAGTTGAAATATGCAAAATTATTTGTGCAAATAATTTTAAATATAAATTTAAACACAAATAATATGCATGTTTTGCTTAGTAGAAATGCGTATTAAAATCTCTTCTTCATTTGCTCTGCATATAAAATTTTACCGTTGATGACAATGACAATAACAAATTTAAACTAATAGTTCATAAATAATTATTATATAAGCATTTTCATATTTATTATAAAATATTTCTGCATGTTGAATATTTTATGATAAAGTAAGTATCACATAACATTTAAAACAGTTTCCAGTCTAATCTATTTTATGGTATTCAAAATATATTTAGTGTGTAGCATCATTTAATCTAAAATTCTGTAAGTTGAAAATAGTTCTTATTTCATCTTACATGCTAATTTATTTACTTTTATAACAGTAATCTGTTAATTTGCATAAATTTGTTGAAGTTAAATGTGAACGGGATGGGACTATACGTCGATCAATAGTTAAATGTTTCCTCTTAAATTAGTACTGTAATTATTTAAATATATATAATATAAAAATAAGTAAATAAATATAATTTTATTAAAGAAATAAAGTTTTTATTCAAAAGCTTCATAATAATTTCAGAGTGGACCAGTTGTGGATATGATGAAAAGACCATACATGACTTCTGGTAGCGATTCATCACCGTCTCATTCAACTCATGGACATCCCCAAGCTTATAGCCATCAGTATCATCAGAGATCATATTCTCAAACACAAGGTCAAAATGTTTCAACTAGATTAGTTGGTCAGTCATTTTCCCAGCAGGTAATAACTGTATTTTAGTTGGAACTGATACCTGTTGTTAAAACAATAAAATAGAAAAAAAATGAATTTTTTAATCTAAATATAAAAACATCTTACCACTGGGGTATTTAAATTTCTTTACTAAATGTTTTTTGGCTCTATTTATGAGCTCTCTTCGGGTAAATTGTTTGAATTCAGAACAACATTGAACATTTTTCTACAAATTCAAAATCAAATTAAGAATATACAGTAGTTAATGAATTTTTTAACATTGAAATCCTAAATTACTATAATAATAATCATAATAAACTCTCTCCAAAAAATTAATATAACAACCTAATTAATTAATATTTAAGATTGGCCACTGTCCAATATTGTTGTACATATTATAAGGTGTTTTTACTTGTTCCCAATTTTTTAAATAGTATATCTCCATGCTGTTGGAAATCATTCTACGTCCCTGGTGTTAACATAACTCATTTCAAAACTGAGTTTTTTTAAACACGTTTGTGTTTAAAAAAACTCAATTTTTTCTTTATTCATGGCTGTAGAGGGTGAGTGTACTTCATTAATGATTTTAAATTCCTTCCAAAGTACCAAAGTTCCTTGTATGTTTGCAATTTATGCCAAGAACATGTTTTCTTTCCTTTTCCTTACATCATATTGGTGTTCTTTAACTCTGATTTTTAAATTCCTCTTAGTTACTCCAACATATATCATTTTTAGGTTAAGCTCTTCATTAACTGTTGGGATCTGGTCTACTCCTGTTTTAGTTTCTTTTGGGATTGGATCCTTGTTATTTCACAGTATATGATGTAAATTAGGAGCTCTTTTATATATCATATAGAATTCTTTTTGAATACAGTTTCCTGATGAGGGCTCATAAATAGAACCAAAAAACATTTAGTAAAGAAATTTAAATGTCCCAGTGTTAAGGTGTTTTTTCATATTTAGTTAAAATAGGAGCTGGGTTAGAATGAATTGAATTTTTTTATGTTTAAAGTTTTTAATAAAATTTAAAGTTATTTGATATAATTAAATTATTTAATTATATGTTATATATATTTTGTAAGTGTGGACATAATGGAAAGAAAAATTCAATAGTAATTTTAAACAAAAATTTGATTTTTGTCATATACAAATGAATTGTATATAAAACATAAAATACAAAGACAGTAAATTTGAATTGAAAAATGTGTTAACAAATGAGTTTTGGTTTACCTCTCTTTTAATTAAGCATCTTTGCTTACTGTGAAATGTATAAAGATATTTATAAACATTCAACTCAAAACTGGTTATACTTAATAAATAAAGGCAAAATAAACCAATATCTAGCACAAAAATGTAAGACAGATAATGTTTTCACCAATATTAAATAGACATGAGAGAGAAATGTTTTCACCTGTTTGAAAGGTCATTCTCAGATTCTCACATTGGTTGAAAATGCTTCTCTCAATAAATTTGAGTTTATTCAATAACTGGATTTAAGGTTTCTTGTGGTTTTGGTTACTAAATACATCTAGTTTTTATGGTGATTTACTGCATAATTGCTTTTATTTATAGTAATTTTAGTTAAAAACTTAACTAAAGCCAAATAATTGATATAATGAATAGGGCTATTTTTTGGCTACTATTAATAATTAAATTCTGAGTAATTTGGAGTAGAGGTACTTAGAATTTAATTAATAATAGTAGCTGAAAAATATCTTGATTCATTATGGTGATCATTTGGCTTTGATTAATAACATCGGGATTTGAGATGTTTATCTTTGTATAGCAACTTAACATAATAAATTCTCAAGCTAGTATTAAAAAAGGTTGTTGGCAACAATATAGCATAATTTATTTTCTAACATTTGCAGCTATGCTTTGCACTAAATCAGTGGTTCTCAACCTTTTTTGTTGATGTACCCCATTAGCCCATTAGTTGTTTCTCGAGTACTCCTTATATTTTTGTATATAAATTTTATAATTACTGCATTAGATGTATACAGCCCTTATAATTGAGTGCCATAAAAAACTCTCACTAACTAACTACAACTAAAAGTGGATTACTTATTTTACGTAAATAATAATCAATTTAAACAGGTACTGTACAGTACATACATTTATTTATTATTATTTGACAAGTATATTATATAAAATCACAGAAGTCATTTCAATACATGCATAAATTACATTTCCTAAACATAAATAATAATAATTAATGATAAACAAAATTTAAATTATTCTACAATAATTTCTAACAATTTAATGGGATATTTGTTCTGATAAATCTTCAGCAATTTTTTTCCAAATTCGGTTTCCACCTTGTTAACTGACAACGAATGTCTGCTGATGCGTCAAGCCTGTTTTTTTAGTTTTTGTCACAAATACATCATTAAAATGGTAAAAGTTTTCTTTAGACCTTTTAAATTGGACCTTGCATGGCTTTAGCTCCATCAGTGCAGATGTCGATGCACTTTTTTGAAGTAATGAAATAGATTGCTATTTCATTACTTCGAATGAAATCATCGATTTTATTGAAAATATCAAAACCTGTAGTTGTATTTTTTAGGTCATCACACATTAACAAATCTTTGCAAAGCTCATTGTTGTACTGATATTTCACAAAACTAAAAGTACTGTCAATCCGCTGACATTGGTGCTTTCATCTATTCTAAAATTAATGCTCGGTTAAATTGAAATTTTACTAGACTACAGGTTCACTCGGCACTAATGGCACAAATAGAGTAAAAGGTAAATAAGGTAAATCAAGTGGATGAACAAGTTGTTTGGACTGTTAAAAGGGAAATCGATGTTCATACTGGGATATTTTAAAGTAAGCTTTTGTCATTTCTTGTGTTAATAATTTACAGCAAATTCATTAACATACGCCATTTTATAATGAAAGTTAGATGTACCCCTTCGATTTATGCGCGTACCCCTAGGGGTACATGTACCCCCAGTTGAGAACCACTGCTCTAAATAGACTGTTGATTGAGTCAAAAATGCTATGGTCAGATGGCCAAGGCAATTAAAGAGTCAGCTGTTCTGGATAACCAGGGATCAAATCCAGGTGAGCAACCCCAGGAATTTTTCATGGAAGGAAACTTCTAGATACACCAAGTCCTACCACCTTACCACCCAGCCATCCCAATTGTGGGTCTGGCTAAATCCATACTTAAAATAATCAAACATCTTAGTATTTCCAGCAACGAAGTATTTAATAAAAAATATAATAACGTTTTTCACTATTTTTAATAGTCTTCTTCAGTTATGCCTCTTTAAAACAAAAACGAATGTAAAATAGTTCAAGAGGCATAACTGAATAAGACTATTAAAAATAGTGGGAAACATTTATTATATTTTTTATTAAATACTTCGTTGCTGTAAATACTAAGGTGTTTAATTATTTTAAGACATTTATATTCCAGTAAGTTATTTTATTTTAAATCCATACTGTGTGGGGAAAAAACTTTCTTAGTGCCCATAGGACAAAAAGAGCCAAAAAATGAAAAAGTTTTAAAATATGCAAAAAATTTTCACGAGGCCATATATTCAGGAATCTGCATGTTATAATATGCAAAAGTGCAGAAATATTCAATTGTTATTGCACTTTCTGCATCTTGTATAAAACACAAGGTGTGAATAAGCTATTATATGAAATACTTAGTTTCATTAGACAGATGCTGAATTATACACTCATTTTGACATCTGAAGAAATCATGTTAGCATTTCAAGAAGTGACCAGAAAAACTAGACATATTCTGAAACAAATGATTATTATAGTCTGTACTTTAAGAAATGGCTAAGCACTTCTTAAAATGGCAAATTTCAGCATGTGGTTATAATGTATACAAGAGTTAAATTTTAATAGTTGAGCCCAGTTTAAATTGAAGTATACAAGACAGAATAAACACAGAAGTTTAAGCAGTTCAGAGGCATTTGAATATAGTCACCAGCATTGTCAATTACCCATTACCATTGATGTGGAAGTTGAATGATGCCATAAACAGATTCTGATGTGTTGATGGTCTGAATGCAACTGTTGACAGCATGTAAAATGTCTTCAATTGTCTTGAATTGCATGCCGTGGAGAGTGTCTTCACCATGGTAATTGAGACATGCAAGTTTCTTGTAAGCCTTATAAACTTCTCTAAATTATTAATATAATAAATATAAATACAACTTTTTTACAAAGAAAAATTCTTTGTTTCATCATTTTTTCGTTGTTCGCACCATCAGCAGTTCATTAATTAAAAAACACAAATACTCACGGAGACGACCTTCCTTTTTAGGCTACTGCCTTTGTAGTTAAAAAGCAAAAAATGATAAAAGCGCCTGAAACAAAGAATTTTTCTTTATAAAGAAGTTGTATTTATATTTATTATATTAATATTAAATAATCGTTGGCCATGTAAACTTATTATTTTTATTCTCTAAATTATTTAAATGTCAATTCTTTTAAGTATTTAGAGAGGAAAATCATCAGAATTGATACTTTTATGAAGATTTTTACCTTGTCCCTTTAATGAAATGCTATTATTTCATTAAACTTGTTTTTGGATTTTTGACTACAAACCTACAAGTTCCAAACAGCACTCTTGTAGTGTGACTTGTTGCAGTTTCAATGTTCAGCTAACAACCCTACTCTAACTTCAACAATATGATTTGAATTGACTGCTTTGCATGCTGGTCTGCTCTTTATGTCATTATAGCATAGGCATTGTACTAGATAGGGCAAAACTATTTTGCTTACAGGTAAGTTAGGATTTGCTACAGTGTGCTACATAAATGTATTTTGCTGTTTTTCTTTGGATTTCATATTAGTACAGGCTCACTATTAAAGGTCCAACCCCTGTATATAATTCTATTTTATATATAAATTTTATTACAATCATTTACAAATATGGAAGCAAACTAACTACATGTGCTATTATAATTATTTATGCAATAAACAACTTAAACAAACTTACTTAAAGAAGTCTGAAATTCTTTTTTAGACGACTTACTTCTGCTCGAAACCAAAACAGTGCTTA